TGCTGGCTAGCTGGTTAGCTAGCTAGCTAGAGGGACCTCCTGAGTGAAGTCCAGAGGGCCACTGTTGCTGCATCCATTAATTGATTATGAATAAATAAATAAATAATAAATAAATAAATACATAAATAAATGAGTAAATAAATGAATAAATGAATAAATAAATATATTATTTATTTATTTATCTATTTATTGGAGCCACTTGTTTGTTTGTGGTTACAGAGAGCCAGTTTGATGCAAAGGACATTCGCAGGGCTTATCTTCATAATTGACTGCAGCAGCAGCAGCAGCAGCTGCTGCTGCTGCTGCTGCAGTCGCTGCTGCTGCTGGTGCAGCAGCAGCAGCAGCTGCTGCTGCTGGCGTTGAGCTGCTGCAGCGCTGCGGCTGACGCGAGGCGTCAGTTTGTGACTTTGTTTTGTCTCTCGAAATAAAAATAAATGGAAATAAATTGATGAATTTATTTATTATTTTGTCTTCCTGTCTGTACACCGCAATCAAACGCATGCATGCATGCAGCAACTCGGGCCCTAGATCTTTGGCGGCGACTCAAAGCGCTAATTTCAAATCTTACCTTTAAATTAGGGTTTAGGGTTTAGGGTTTAGGGTTTAGGGGTGCTTGGGGGATAACGGTGCAGAGAGCCTGGGCTTTAGGGTTTAGGGTTTAGGGTTTGGGCCGAAAGCCAGCGGAAAAGGCCTTTAGATGGTTTATATATGTTTAAATATATTTATTTATAATATTTATATAGTTATATATATAATGATATTATGTATTACTGTATATACACACATATATATATATATATACATATGTGTATTATACCCATATATATATTTGCAGACTTCTGGGCAGATTTTTGCGTAGCTTGAATAAAGTGAGAAAGCTTAAGAGATGGACTTTGCGCTGGGCTGCGAGTTTCAGGGTTTAGGATTTAGGGTTTAGGGTTTAGGGTGTGTATGGATGAGCTGCGTGTCTGCGGAGTTGAGTGGGAACGGAGCGCTCGCGGTCCTTTGCACTTTATTTATTTAATTCTAATTATTGTAAAAAGCTGTAAATAATAATTAGAAACGAATTTTCAATGAAACGATTAACTGTAGCAGCAGCAAACGCATGCAGCAGCAGCAGCAGCGCGGGCGCGGAGGGCCCCCAGAAGGCAGCAGCCGGACCAAAGAGTAGCCAGTGGGCTCGTTGTTTCGTTTGAAGTCCCCGGGGCTTTTAAAGAACGAAATAATTAATTTTTTTGTCTTTTTTTGCATTTTAATATTTGAACAAACAAAATCGGAGAAGTTTCACTGCGTGGGCATCGAGGTGTATGTACACCTCAACCCGCGCTGCCACTCCGCAGCCGACACTGACGTCCATTTCCGCTTTTTTTGGCATTTTCGCGCTAATTTGCTTTTCTTTGTTAAAACAATGACGCAAACACTTTTAAAATTATGAAGTAAACTCAAAAGACCCCCCTTTATCCTCTCTATGCTCCGGCTTCCCGTGTTCGGCGGCTCCTTCCCAGTGGTCTGCGCGCGCGCGCCGGGGTTTCCTGCGAGGATTTCCGTTTCTGGCTTTTTCCCTTTAGTTTTTTTGTTTTTTATTTCTACTTTCGAATAGTTTCTTCTTTTCGCAACCTGCTGCACTCCCGCCATGTACTCCCAACAGGGAATTGAACGCCAGCGCACAGTCCGCTTCTCCGTCCACACCCCCGAAACCCAAACCCCCGAAAAGCAAGCTTCTGCAGTTTTTCGCTCGGCTGTACGTACACCTCAGGGTGTACAGACAGCTCCGGGTGTACAGACAGCTCCGGGTGTACATGCAGCTCCAGCTGTACACGCAGCTCCAGCTGTACATACGGCTCCGGGTGTACAGGGAGCTCCGGGTGTACAGGGAGCTCCGGGTGTACAGGGAGCTCCCGGTATACACGCAGCTCCTGCTGCTTCTGCTGTGCTGCGCTCCCAAGCGCCTGCTGCGCTGCACAGGTCCTCCGATGACCTTCCGCAGCAAGAAGGCCTTGCTGCTGCAGCAGCAGCAGCAGCAGCAAGACAGGGCAGGGCGCAGCTGCCCACACTCAGCGGGCCCTTGAGAAGGCCCGCGAGCGCTTCTGTGGGCTCTTCCTCGGGCATGGCAGCAGCAGCTCCTGCTGCAGCAGCAGCAGCAGCAGGAAGCCCACAGAGGGGCTTTTCGAACGGCAGCAGCCACAGCGCCCGCCAGCAGCAGCAGCAGCAGCAGCAGCAGCAGGGCCGCGGGCGGCGGGTGCTGGAGATCGAAGGCACTCCTTCTTCCTTTTGCCGCTTGACAGAAAACCCTTTTCGAAGCAGCAGCAAACAAATGAAGAAAATTGCAAATGTTATTTTTATTCCTCCGAAGTTAAAAAGAAGTGACAGTTGTCCTTTATTTGCTGCTCGCTCGCGGCAGCAGCACAAGTCCAACATGTCTCTTTATGCTGCTGTTGCTGCCGACGCAGCAGCAGCAGCACCGCCTGCAGCAGCAGCAGCAGCGCCGCCGCAGGCCCTGCAGCGCAGGTGGAGCCCCACGAAGCAGCAGCAGCAGCAGCAGCAGCAGCAGCTGCAGCAGCCGAGGGGCTTTTGCTGCTTCGCGCCCAGAGGCAGCTGCCTAGAAGGCGCCGTCAGCAGCAGCAGCAGCAACGCAGCAGCAGCAGCAGCAGCAGCAGGAGTGCCTCCTGACTATTTTGAATTGAAAGATGAAGTCCTTTGGCTGAGAGAGCAAAATGCAACTCTCCAAAAAGAGAAAAAAGAATTGCTGGCACGCAAACCCTAAACCCTAAACCTTAAACCCTAAACCCTAAATCCCTTTTCGCGTTGTAGACTGGGCGCAAGCTGGTAGCAGCTAAATTCTTAACCCTAGACACTGCTAGGACCGTCTGCAGCAAACCCTAAACCCTAAACCCTAAATTGTTGTTTGCTGCAGATGGAGACTGCGGTTCAGCGGCGCGAGCTCGAGGGTTTGTCTCAGGCGCTGCTGCACCAGAGCCCTGCTGCTGCTGCTGCTGCTGACCGCGAGAGCAGCAGCAGCAGCAGCAGGAACTTGCTGGCCCTCGAGAGAGAAAATGCAGAGCTGCGGCAGCAGCTTGCAGAGCTGAGTGCAGCAATTGGTGCTTCTGCAGCGGATAAAAAGTGCGGCAGCTTTTTATTTTGCCTTCAGCTGCTGCTGCTGCTGCTGCTGCTGTCGCTGCTGCTGTTGGCGGCTGTGGAGCCGCGCCTGTGCTGTTGGTGCTTCTGCTGCTAGTGCACTTCGCGATTCACCTGCTACACCACTTGCTGCTGCTGCTGCTGCTGCTGCTGCTGCTGCTGCTTGCAGGGGCGGGGGCGCGCTGCCCGCGCTGCTGGCGTCGCAGCTGCGAAGTGCACACAGAGACTTGGTGAAGCTGCGCAGCAGCATGAGAGCTGAGCAGCAAGCAGCAGCAGCAGCAGAAACAAATGTAGGAGCAGCAATGAGGGCCCTCGGAAGAGGCGCGGAAGTTTTTGCTGCTGACCCCAACGACTGCACGCTGCAGCAAGCGGCCCTTGACAGCCAGCTCGTTAAGGCCAGGAGAAGGGTCTTAGCCGTAAGCAGCAGCAGCAGCAACAGCAGCAGCAGCAACAGCAGCAGCAGCAACAGCAGCAGCAGCAGCAGCAGCGGCAGCAACAGCAGCGCAAGTGGCAGGCTGTGGGGGGATTGGGAAGCTGCGATTGCTGCTGCTGCTGCTGCTGCTGCTGCCGGTGTCTGCAGGAACTAAGTTAGAGATACTGACTCTGCCGCTGCTGCTGCTGCTGCTCTTGCTGCTGCTGCTGCTGCTGCTGCTGCTGTTGTAATAACGTCGGCCTTATTGCTGCTAGCGCCCTGAGAGCTCACCGTTCAGCTCTCAGAGCGTGGAGCCCCTCACTAAAAATAGATAAATGAATTAACAAACAAATAAATAAATAAATAAATAAATAAATAAATAAATAAATAGATTAATTAATTAATTAATTAATTACTTTTTGGATTTAGGCTCGGGAGTTCGTGTGGTCGGCTGTCGCGACACTGAAGGATTTAATAGACCAAACATTTGAACGGGTTGGGCGTCTTGTGAAGTCCGAAGTGGTGAGTGTCGAAAAGGGAATTAATTTGAATGAAAAGGGAAATAAATAAAAAATAAATTAAAAATAAACAAATAAATATCAAAAATAGATGATAAACTGCACAATATAAATAAACAATCAACAAATGGCGCTTATTTGGCTTTTAATTTCGCCGAAAAACAGGAATTTGACCCTTTTCTGAGGTGTATGTACACTGCAGCCTCTCCGCCAAAAAAGCGCCTATTTGAACGAACTCCAGGCCCTAGTGACCAGCCAGTTGGATCCGGCGAGTTTGCGTTGAATTAATCCTTTAAAAGCAAAATTAGTCATTTAATTTAATTAATTTAATTAATTTAATCAATTCAATCCATCAAATTTATTAAATTTGTCCATTTTATCCTTTCAATTCAATCTCCCCGCCATCTAAAATAAATGCCCAGTAAACACTTCGCTGCAGTTTTCTTCCTGTCCAGCCACTGTTCAATTTCTCGACTAATTTATTTATTTGTTTATTTGTTTGTTTATTAATTATTTATTTATTTATTTGGCTGCTTATTTATTTGTTTATTCATTTATTTATTATTGATTTATTCGTTATTTATTCATTATTTATCCATTCACTTATTTATTTATTAGTTTATTATTGATCTATTGTTTATTTATTTTATTTAATTATATATTTATTTATTTATTTATTTGTTTATTTGTGTTTAGGCTTTAAAGGTTTACAACGACTTGGACGCAGTTTTTAAAGAACTGGAAAACCTCAAAGCTGTTGTCTTCGACCCCAGGAGAAATAATCCTTACTGGTAAATAAATAAATAAATAAATAACAAATAAACAAATGAATAAATAGATGTTTGATTGATTAGCTAATCATTAATTATAAATAAGTAAATTAATTGACTCAAAGAGAAAGCTGTTGATTATTTAATTTACTTTTCTTTATTCGTTTTTAATTTTGCATGAACTCCATTAACAGAAAAAGTGAAAAGAAAAACTTTAAATGCATAAAAACTCCTGAAAGTACGCATTTAAAGAATTAAGAGTTTTAGTTATCCGAAAGTGCCAAAAGTCCTTCAAAAGGTCCATTTAAATGACCAAAAGGATGCAATTTGTGTTCCAAATCGATTAGAGGACCTTTCGAGGCCTCAAAAGAACAAAAAGTGGTTCAAAGTTGTCCAAAAAGTCGCAAAAAGTCCGCAAATTAGTCCACTGTTAGCCCGTGACCAGTGGACCACTGGTGGACCACTGGTCCCTGCAGCCCCTGCCGCCCGCGGCGAATGGTCTTGGAAGATGATTTGGAACATCTGCAGCAGCAGCTGCAGCAAACGAGCGAGGCCTTAAGAAGAACTCGGACAGAACTCATCAAGTCCGAAATGGAGGGTTTGCAGGCCTTCGTCCAGGTAAACCCTAAACCCTAAACCCTAAACCCTAAACCCTCAGCGCGCGGGGCCTCTAAGGGTGCGCCTGCTCTGCCCACTGCAACGCCGCAGGACAAGGTCCAGTCGAATGCTGCAGCAAATCCCTTCAAAACAAGCCCCCAACCAGCAGCAGCAGCAGCAGCAGCAGATCAATCTCCCGCTGCTGCCGCTGCCGCTGCAGCTTACCAGCAGCAGCAGCAGCAGCAGCAGCAGCAGCCTGCTGCAGAGGAAGAGGAGACTACGGAAATTCTGCTGCTCATGGCGCAGAGGCAGCACGAAGCTGCAAAAGTTGCAGAGGCGGTGCGAGTCCTAAACCCTAAACCCTCGCTTCTCCTAATTTTCCTAGGGCTTAGGGTTTAGGGTTTAGGGTTTAGGGTTTGTTGTGCGCACCTGCAGCTCGCGGCATTGAAGGACGAAGTGGAAATGCTGAAAGACGTAAGACCTGGCCCTCTTTCTTCCTCCAGGCCTTAGGGTTTAGGGTTTAGGGTTTAGGGTTTAGGGTTTAGGGTTTAGGGTTTAGGGTTTAAGGTTTAGAGTTTAGGATTTACGGTTTGTCTCAGAGAGCCATGTGTGAAGAGGCCAGCAAAGGGCCCCCCGAAAAGTATTTGGCAGAGGAGCTTTTTAGTAGAGAACAAAAAGAGGCGGCGGTGAGTTTGAAAATAAATAAATAAATAAATAAACAAATAAAGAAATAAATAAATAAAATAAATAATAAATTAGTAGATAAATTAATAAATTAAATAAGTAAATAAACAAATAAGTAATTAAGTGCACCAACAAAGGAATTAAAAAAAAACGAAACAAAGAAGCAGAAAAGAGTTATTAAACAAATAAATAATAAAAGATAATTGTAAATAAATAAATAAATTTCCATTTATTCCTTCTATTTATTTATATATTAATTTGTTATTTATTATTTACTATTATATACTATTTGTTTATTTATTTATTTATTTATTTATTTATTTATTTATCTATTTATTTATTTATTTATTTTCTTTAGATGCAAAAAGACAAGAAGCCGGCGGGGAGTCTGGAGGAGCTGCAGGGGCCATTGAGGGTGGGGTTTGTGTTTATTAAAATAAAATTAAAATTGAAATAAAATTATAATTAAATTAAATTAAATTAATTTAAACTTAATCAATTAAATTAGATTAAATGAAATTAAATTAAATCAAATTAAATTAAATTAATTTAAATTAAATTAAATTCAAATTTAAATTAATAGAATTGGAAAAAAGACAAAAAGAAAGATTTGAAATTCGAACATCCATTAACATTGTTTATTTTTCTATTTGTGCCATTTGGTGTTTATTATTTGTGACTTGTTATTTATCTAATTAAACTTTGGATTTGATAATTATTTATTTATTTATATTCTTTTTAGTGATTAATAATTCTTCCTTTGTCCGTTTGTTTGTTTGCTGCTGCTAAGGAGGGTCGCATCATGCAGCAGCAGCAACAGCAGCAGCAGCAGCAGCAGCTGCAGCAGCAGCAGCAGCAGCAGCACCCTGCTGCTGCACTGCAGCAAGCAGCAGCAGCACTCTCAAGCTTCCATTTTGAGAAGTTGTCCGGGCCTTTGGACCCCAAAGACCTGCAGGTTTTGAAAATGGTGAATTGCCCACAAGGGTTTAGGGTTTAGGACTTGGGGTTTAGGGTTTAGGGTTTAGAGGCTGCAAACGTTCTTTTCTTTTTCTGCCAACGTCTCTGTGATTATTTAATGGAAGTTATTTTTTTAATTATTTATTCATTTAAATATTCGTTTAAATATTTATTATTTATTTATTTATTTACTAATTTATTTATTCATTTATTTATTATCTATTTATTTTCTGCTGCTGCAGATTGAAGAGCAGGCGGCGAAAATGCACAAAATGAATGAAGTGGGTCAAAGCACTAAAACGCTCTTTAGGGTTTTCTACTAAAGTGGACTTGCTGCTGCGGCTGCAACAGCAGCAGCAGCAGCAGCAGCAGCAGCAAAAGCAAAAGCAAAAGCAACTGATGGTTGCCGTGCAGTCGCTCGGGAAATGAAGCCGCAGCAGCAGCAGCAGCTGCTGCTGCTGCTGTGCTGCTGTGCTGCTGCTGCTTCAGTATTGCTGCTGCTGTTGATGTCTTGCTGCTGCTGCTGCTGCTCGCGCTGCAATTGCTGCTGCTGCTTCTGCTTCGGTTCTTTTCGTTGCAGGAGATGAGGGGCTTGTCGTTTATTTGAATCGCATTTTCCTCATTTTGAATTAGTTTGTTGACTACTTTTTGCTTATTTATTTGATTAATTTTTTGTTTCTTCCAGCAGCAGCAGCAGCAGCAGCAGCAAAACTACTCGACTTTCGGCTCCTTAACTGCGGCCACGGCGAAGCAGCGGTCTGCCTGCTTCACCGGTAAACCCTGAAACACAACTTCAAACCCTAAACCCTAAACCCTTTATTGGGGCTTTGGGCCCGATATCTGGAGATTGCAGAGTCGGCTCTGGGCTCGAAGGGGCGCTGCTGAGCGCCGGGAGTGCAGGGTTTAGGGTTTAGGGTTTAGGGTTTAGGGTTTGAGCACAGTTCTTTTAGCGTCGAAGTACTCTTTTCTAAACAAATAAATATCTTCTGGTCGAGCTCGAATGAGGCAACTAGGGTTTAGGGTTAAGGGTTTAGGGTTTGGGGTTTGAGCACAGTTCTTTTAGCGTCGAAGTACTCTTTTCTAAACAAATAAATATCTTCTGGTCGAGCTCGAATGAGGCAACTAGGGTTTAGGGTTTAGGGTTTAGGGTTTGAGCACAGTTCTTTTAGCGTCGAAGTACTCTTTTCCAAACAGATAAATATCTTCTGGTTGAGCTCGAATGAGGCAACTAGGGTTTAGGGTTTAGGGTTTAGGGTTTGAGTACTGTTCTTTTAGCGTCGAAGTACTCTTTTCCAAACAAATAAATATCTTCTGGCTGAGCTCGAATGAGGCAACTAGGGTTTAGGGTTTAGGGTTTAGGGTTTGAGTACTGTTCTTTTAGCGTCGAAGTACTCTTTTCCAAACGAATAAATATCTTCTGGTTGAGCTCGAATGAGGCAACTAGGGTTTAGGGTTTAGGGTTTAAGGTTTGAGTACTGTTCTTTTAGCGTCGAAGTACTCTTTTCCAAACAAATAAATATCTTCTGGTTGAGCTCGAATGAGGCAAACTAGGGTTTAGGGTTTAGGGTTTAGGGTTTAGGGTTTGAGCACAGTTCTTTTAGCGTCGAAGTACTCTTTTCCAAACAGATAAATATCTTCTGGCTGAGCTCGAATGAGGCAACTAGGGTTTAGGGTTTAGGGTTTAGGGTTTGAGTACTCTTCTTTTAGCGTCGAAGTACTCTTTTCCAAACAAATAAATATCTTCTGGCTGAGCTCGAATGAGGCAACTAGGGTTTAGGGTTTAGGGTTTAGGGTTTGAGTACTGTTCTTTTAGCGTCGAAGTACTCTTTTCCAAACGAATAAATATCTTCTGGCTGAGCTCGAATTACTTCCTTTGCAAAATCAAACAACAGCTGAGGAAAGCTGGGAGGAAGACTCACTTCCGCGCCCTCCAGGCTCACCAGCTTGGGGGCCCCGCCGGTGGAGTACATCTTGATGGTTTAGGTTTAGGGTTTAGGGTTTAGGGTTTAGGGGGGCGTGGCGACTGTAGGGAAAGGCGCTGGGGCGTTACTTGAAGTTGTTTGGATTTAAGGGTTTATCTGAACTTTTCTTTGCTGCTGTTTTAGCTCTCGAATTTACTAGCCCAAGAGACTGCTGCTGCTGCTCTAGATGCGCTGCTGCGGCTGCTGCTGCTGTTGCTGCTGCTGCTGCTGCCGGTATGATCACCGCCTGCTCGTTCCAAGGGAATGCTGGGGAATACGGAGAAACCGGAAGAATTAGATCAAATTTTTTGTTTTTAATGGATTAATTTAATTTTAATTTTCATTTTTATTCCTCTTTGATGGCTTTTCCGCATTTCTTTTCAGGCAAACTGGGCAGCAGCCGTTTTTTGTCGCTGTGAGCGGCCCCGCCAGCTGCCAGCATGGGAAAGCAGCTGCTTTCGCGCTATTTAATGCAAAACAAGAAAACATCAGAATTTAAAAACTATGATTTCATATTTAATTCAATTTTAAGAAGAAAATCGGAGAAAAACGGGACATAAGGAGCGAAAACGCAGTGATCCTCGGAGAGGCCGGCGACATGTACGGCGGCCGCGGCTGCTGCTGCGGCGAGATCGTGTGCAAATATTCTTGCTTCAAAGCTCTTTCTTTTTTGAAATAAATCAGGTTAAAGTTAAATTGTCTAAAGTTAAAGAATTTCAGCTGAAAATGAATTTGAAGTTGAACTTGTCTTTCAGTCTTAGCCGCTCACAGGGTCACCTGGGGCGCCAGCTGGCGGCGGCGGCCGCCGCAGTGGTAATCTGGCGGCGTTGTTTCTATCGAATCGGGTTCAAAACGGCGCTAAGAGTTGCGATTTGAAATCGAAAAAGAGCTAAAAACAAATAAAACATTAATTTTTATCTTTTTTTTGATTTATTTCCATCAACAATTCCTTTTTTCCCGGCAGATCGCGCCGCGCCTAACGCCAGCGCAACAGCCCAACACCCCGCGCCCGTGGGGCGCCCTGCTCTTCATTTCTTTTAATATTTTCATTTTTGAGAATTTCATGTCTCAAAACTTTCTCAAGAGAGAAAGAAAGCCATTAAAAGCCTTTTTCTGGGTGTATAGACACCTTTTCTGCGCGGCGCAGGTGTACAGATACACCAGCTAGCTCAATTCAAAAACCACAACTTCCAACTGCCGCTCACAAACTGCATCAAACAATTCCGAAACATTCCTGAGCCTCTGCTAGGATTCAGAGCCCAGGGAAGAGAGTCTAGGGTTTAGGGTTTAGGGTTTAGGGTTTGCGGCTTCGAGGCTACAAGGACAGGATGGAGGAGAATCCCACTGTGGCCATTATATCTCCAGAAGAGGATATTTATATGAACTCAACGCATTTCTCCGCTGGGAAAAAAGTGCGATTGGACAGCTACTACTACCTCTACTGCTGCTGCTGCTGCTGCTGCTTCTACTGCTACTGCTGCTGCTGCTGTTGCTGTTGCTTTTGGCACTGCTGCTGCTCTCACAGTTGCTGTTGCTGCTTTGCCGTATCTGTTACTTCTTTCTCTCTGTGCATGTTGCTACTGGTGAATATAGGTGGGGTGGTGGAGCTGCTGCTGCTGCTGCTGCTGTTGCTGCTGCTGGTCAAGAACTTGTTGCTGCTGTAGCTCTCAAGTGTTCTATCACCCTTCTTTCTTTTGTTCAGAGACCTCAAGGAAGTAATCCTCATTTGGAAGCCTTCATTTAGACGCTGAGGGCTTAGTGTTTAGGGTTTTGGGTTTAGGGTTTAGGGTTTAGGGTTTAGGGTTTGTGGGGTTTGTGATTTCAGGGAGGGATCTTGCTGAAGGATGCAGCTGTACAAACGTCGATTCCTCTTTGCGTCTGCCAGCAAGAGGTGCTGAGGGTTTAGAGTTCGGGCTGTAGAATCTAGGGTTTAGGGTTTAGGGTTTAGGGTTTAGGGTTTAGGGTTTAGGGCCTAGGGTTTAGGGTTTAACGCTGTGAGCAGCCACCCCCTTGCTTTTGCGTCTTATTTTCTGCTGCTTTGAAGCCCCCTTCGTTGACTCAAATAAAATCGGAGGTTAATAAACTAAAAATTAAGAATAAAATAAACTAAATTGAAGAAATATATTTATTAATTTTTAAATTATTTTGTTTTGCTGCGCTGCAGAGAAGGGCCCTGAGGCCCCCCGTGTCGTGGCTGAAGAAACCCTCAGTGCCTTTCTCAGCAGCAGCAGCAGCAGCAGCAGCAGACGCAGCAGACGCAGCAGAGCTGACAACAGCAGCAGAAACCGTAGCAACAGATGCAGCAGCAACAACAAGCACCCCAGTAGCAGCAGCAGCAGCAGCAAGCAGCAGCACAGCCGCTTCCCCCCCAGTGGAAGTCGCTGGGGGCTCAGAGGCAGATAGTGGGGTGAGTAAAAAATTGATTTAAAATCAAATAAATAATAAATAATAAATAATAAATAATAAATAAATAAATAAATAAATAATAAATGAATAAATAAATATGTAAATAAATGATTAATTAATTATTTGCTGGCTGACTTGAGAAGACGGTTTGTGAGTAGAAAAAGGGAAAAGAAAGAAGGCAAAAAGAATTGCTTTTAGTGAATTTGAATTTAATTAAATGATTTGACTTTTTGCTTTTATTCTTTTAGGAAGATGAGGCATTTGTTGGTGCTGCTGCTGCTGCTGCTGCTGCTGCTCCTTGGTACGAAAACTTAATTGCTGCTGCTGCTAAGCAATGGCTGCAGAAGAGCTGCTGCAGCGCCCGTTCTGCTGCTGCTGCTGCTGCTGCTGATGGAGCTGCTGCTGCTGCTTCCCCACAAACCTTTGTCCATGAGCCCCGGAGCCCCGTGCTGCTGAGGGGCAGCAGCCGCCATTTAGCTTCCTGCGAGCTCCAGCAGCAGCAGCAGCAGCTGCTGCTGCTGCAGCTGCAGCAGCAGCAGCAGCAGGACGCGAACGGCGCTGCCCTCTCCCCAGCAGCAGCAGCAGCAGCAGCAGCAGCAGCAGAACCTGGCATGGAACTAAATGGAAGGAGGAGACATTCTACAATCGAAGGAGGAGTTAAAAGAATCATTAACAAAATGAAAAAAGAATTTAAAAATTCAAAATTGAATTGCGAATCTGATGAAGACGTTCCCTATGAAACCCCCACTGGAGGAGCTGTAAAAGGTATTCTTTTAATTTTACTTCTTAATTTTCAATTAAATTGAATTAATTAATTTTTAATTTAATCAATTTACTTTATTCAATTATTCTAAACTATTTAACTAATTGTTTACTTTTTGCTTCTTCTATGTTTGTAGTTATTGCACAAAGAGATAAACCGGTGCTTCGAAATTCTGTGACCCAGCAGTTTATTTATTTATTTATTTATTTATTTATTTATTTATTTATGTATTTATTTATTTATTTATTTATTGTTACTATTTATTAATTAATTATTTGTTTTTTAATTTATTTATTCTTTTATTATTAATCACTAAATTAATTGATTTGTTCTTTCATTTATTCATTTGTTAATTTCATTTTAGCTGCATCCAAACCATAGCAGCAAATGTTAAACGACTGCTTTTTTGGATTATTTCCTTTTTAGGATGTTTTAGTCTTTTGCTTTTTGTTCTTTCTTTTTCTGAAATTCTTTTTAATTTATCTTCAAATGTTTCTTTTGCTGTGTACGTACACCAGCGCAAACGTTAGAAACGCCGAAGCATCTCCGCAGGGGCATTTGGCTGCTGAAGAAGCAGCAGCAGCACCACTTGCTGCAGCAGCAAGCAGCAGCAGCAGCAGCAGCAGCAGCAGCAGGGGAAGGGGAGGAGGCCGCGAAGGCGAGGCGCGGCTCAGGTGTATGTACACCTCAACTCGGGAGAACTGCAGCCCCCAAAGAAACAAAAAAACAAATTTTTATCATTAAATCGAATTTGAAAAAAGTAACACAAAACAAACAAAAGATGACAACAAATACTTCACAGGCAGACGAAGAAAGCCGACAGGGCCAAAGCGAAGGAGACAAAGAGACACATGTATCAAGCCCTAAACCCTAAACTCTAAACCCTAAGCCCTAACCCTAAGCTCAAGCCCTAACAGGAAGGGAAGCGCACAAGTATTAAACGCTAAACCCTGGATCCCAAACCCTAAAATTTAAATGCTAAACCCTAAACCCTAATTCTAAACCCTAAAGCCTAGACCCGAAACCCTGCACCTTAAAAGTGAAGAAGACACAGATGCATTGGTATCAAACCCTAGAGAGCAAACCCAAAAAGCTAGAGCTCAAAGCCTAAACCCTAATACCTAGACTCTAGTGCCTTAACCCTAGTGCCTAAACCCTAAACTTGAAGTACTGGACAGATAGAAAACCCTCGACCCCGGAGTCTTAGGACTGCGCTAAAAGCCTCCGAACTTTGAGCAGTAGAGCACAAACCCTAAACCCTCAGAAGCTTATCGGTGAACTAAGAAAACCTAAACCCTAAATGCTAAACCCTAAACCCTCGATTATGCACCTTATGCAGACTCAAGGCTTCCGTCTGGTCTTTTAATTTTTATTTTCTTTTTTTTCTTTTGGTTTTTCGCGTGCAGCAAGTTTCAGGTGTACAGACACCCGAGCCTACTGGCCCCCAGAGTAAAGGAAAGGGAGAAAATGAAAATCGACGAAAGTTTGAAACAGAAATGAATGGAAAGGAAACAAAAAGTTATAAAAGAAGTGAGAAAGAGAAGCAAATGGAGGAAGGAAATGATTCAGAAATCAACAACTCTCTCCTCCAAGAAACGAAAAATGCGACAGAGACCAAAATGAATAAAACAGCCATGAGCAAACGTGAGGCTGGGAGGAACACACAACACAAAAAAGAAATAAAAATGGAACAGAAAGGAGCAAAAATAAGTCAAAAAGAAATAAAAATGGATCAAAAAGAAATAAAAATGGATCAAAGTGAAGCAAAAATGGATCAAACGGACATGAAAATGGACCAAAAGGAAATGGAAATGAATCAAAAAGAGAATGGAACGAATCAAAATAAGCAAGAAAACTCAAATGAGACACAAGTGGATCAAAATAAAACAAAACTGGATCCAAAAAAAACAAAAATGAACCAAAAAGAAACAGAAATGGACCCAAAAGTACTTCAGAACCTTCCCAAGTTCAAAGGAGAAATGGCGAAAGCCCCTGCCTTTGTGGATCCCAAAACGGGGATTGACTGCTCCCAAATAACAAATGTTGAAATGGGTAATTTCTTTAAAATTAAAAAATAAAAGTCTTTCCAATTGATTTAATTGAAATTAATTATTCAATTCAGTTGAAATTCAGTTAGAAGTCTGATTCGAGGGCTATTTGGAATGGGTAATTTCTTTAAAATTCAAAAATAAATATCTTTCTTGATTTAATTGAATTTAATTCTTTAAATGAGTTAAAATTAAGTTACATGTCTAACTCACGGGCTGGTTAAGAACAAATTGCAATCTGCAAATGTTGAAATGGATAATTTATGAAAATTTCAAAAATAAATATCTTTTAAATTGATTTATTAAATTTAATTATTTAGCTGAATTGCAATTCAATTGAAAAACAAATTCGCGGGTTAGTTGAGACTCAATTCCAACTTTTGCAACTCTTTGAATCCATCTTGTCCAACTTTTCTTGAAATGGTCTTCTACCTGTTTAATTCAAATGGCTCTTCAAATGAAAAAGACATTCAATGATCTTTTAAGAATTTAATTCAAATACTTCTTTCAAAAAAAAATAATTTGAATTAAAATGTCAAAAATCTATTTCTTCTGTCTCAACCATTCTGTCTTTGGCAAGAAATGAGGCTTTTCTTTTGCTACTGCTTTGCCTTCCTGTGTTCTTTTTATTTATCTTCCTTTTTTGTCTTCTTTTAAATTCCCGTTGTCACATTTTAAATTATTTTATCTATTTTCAAGTTAGATTTTCCCCCGATTCGTTTTTTTCCTTCTTATTTGCTGTTATTTCAATTCGCTTTTATGTCTTTCTGTTCATTTCTGCTTCCTTTCGCCCCTTTTGGTCTCATTTGATTTATTTTTTCTTCTTTTGGTGTATTCTTCTTTCTCTTGATTTATACTTGTCTTTTTGTGGTTTACTTTTGTTTTTTTGGATTCATTTATGCCATTTTGGGTTTTTTTTATTCCTTTTTGGTTAACTTTTGTCCTGTTTGGTCCCTGTCATCTTCTGTAGCCATCCTTCGCTCTTTTTCTCTTGCGTTTTACGGATTTGTTTTCACTTGTCATTTATTTATCCAGATTATATCAACTCCAATGTCCAGCTGCTTAGTCCCTGCACATTTGCTGCTGCTGCTGCTGCTAATGTTCCTCTAAGGGTTTAATTGCTACTCTCAAAGCCAGGAAAGCTGCTCAATTGCCAGCCATTCCGCGGAGGGCCAGCTGCAGCGGCTGCTGCTGTTGCTGCTGCTGTTGCTGCTGCGTTTGCTGCTGCTGCTGCAAGAATAATTATTTATGGTTCTTCTGAATGATTTATTCCAGTGCTATCTTTTTGTCCAGAAATTATTTGCCTTTGTTATTATTTTGCTGCTTTCGTTCCCGTTTCCGCTCTTCTTTTCGCCATGGACCGATGGATCCGGAGCCCCAAACCCTAAACCCTAAACCCTAAACCCTCGATTTGCGTGCTTGTGCAGCTCTTCTTTGCTCGCCGCCGCCCCCACTGCTGGCGCACACGACGCTGCTGTCGCGTTTGCTGGTGGGTCGCTGGGAAACTCTCTTGGCATTTTCAGATTCTTTAGAAAGTCTTTTTAAAGCTTTTGGAATTGCCTATTTCAAAAGAATTATCGTCGACAAAATTCCCATTCCCCTGGACATCACCCTGGAGGTACCGCGAGCTAAACCCTAACCCTCAGCGCGAAGCCCTAAACCCTAAACCCTAAACCCTAAACACTGACCCTAAGCGCTAAAACCTAAACACCAAACCTTGAATCCTAAACCCTAAATCGTAGGCCCCAAACACTGAATCCTACAGCGCTGCAGCGGGAGCTCTGCTGCAGCTCACGCGCCCGCTGATACCGTCTAGGGTTTAGGGTTTAGGGTTTAGGGTTTGAAGTCTTCAGGATAACGAAACTGTGCTGCATGTGGCACTCACACTGCCCCTCGGAGTCCGCCACATGCGGGGGGCCCTCAATGGGGCCCCTACAGTGGACGATGACCCAGACTGCGGGGCCTGGGAGGGAGTGTTGCAAATAGGTAAATCTTTGAAATTGTATTCAAAAATGTCCGAAAAGTCGAAAGATTTGGCTGCTTCTCCATTTTCTTTAAATTCAGCAGATAGATTTCTCATTTATCTGCTAGATTTCTCATTCATTTGCTAGCTTTCCCATTTCTTCTGCTGCACTCTGCTGCACTCTTTGGCGCTCGTGTTCATCTTCGTTTGTTTTTCTTGCGTTGACTATCAAATGAAAGTTTTGTGTTTGGCTCAGTCTGAGATCTTTCATTTATTTTGTGGCCACAAATTTTTTGGTTTAAATGAGCCTTTTGCTTCGGCTGCTAAGGTCGGCGAGTTTCTGGTGACGCACGCATCATGGGATAGGCGGCATCTGCGTATACTATATGCCTTTTTGCTGCATGTTCCGTTCATTACACTCAGTTAATTAATTAATTAATTAGTTAATTAATTCTTTAATTATTTAGGTAACTGACCGATTTTCGTGCCATTTGCTTTAATTTGTTCCCCTGGATGGCTCCCGAATTTGTTCCTTGGCGATGAGCACAGAGAGAGAATCTACAAGAGCCGCACTTCGTCAATGAGAATACACATTCTAGGGTTTAGTGTGTGCGTTTGAGGGTTTATGGTTTCCATCAGAGGGTTCAGGGCTTCTTAGGTTTGGGTGTTTAGGGTTTGGGAATGAGAGTTGCGTGTGTACATTTGAGGGTTTGGGTGCCCAAGTGGGATGTGGGAGCTCTGATTTAAGGGTTTCGGTTTAGAGCTGAGGTTTCAAGGTTTAAATATTTGACGTTTGGCCATTTAGGTCTGAGGTTTAGGATTTGGAGTCGAAAGTTTGCCGCTTTGTCTTCGAGTTTGCGTGCTTAGGGTTTACGCTGGATTTTCGGGTCTGTTTGGGGGTTTAGGGTTCGGGCTACAGGGCCTAGCGTATATTTTAGAGGGAATAGGTTTTAGGGTGAAGGGCCAAGGGCTTGCAGTCGAGGGTTTAGGTTTGAGTTCAGGGGAGCACAGCGTGCCCTGGCACAACGGGGG